AACATTCTGTGATTCTGTGATTCTGTGCCGTGATGGCAGAGGACAAGGGATGGAGCTGGAGCCCGGCTGAGCACACTGTGGGGCTCTCAGGGGAGGAGCAGTCAGGCTCGGGGACATCTTTCAAACCTACCAAACCATGCTGACAAGCATCTGACAAGCAGCTGAATTCTGAGCTCTCTCCAGCTGTTAGATGAGCCACTGGAGCACGTACAAAGAGCACTCATTCTAGTTACCATCATTTATCAAACTTCTCATTTGGAGTTAAACAGCGAAACGAAGTGGAAAGCAGCCTCAACCTCTTGCACAAACACCGAACAACACCAACAGGCACCCGCTGAGGAGCAGCCTCGGGGTCGTGCCGAGCACCTTGGTGCTGCAGCGAACTCCCCGTGAGGAGAGGACGGACTGGGAGACGCGGCAGGCACAGACAGATGCTTGCAAGCCCTTGGGATGGCATCTGAGGGAGACCCAGCCTCGTGGGGGCACTAAAACAGGCTATAAAAATCCTACCAAAAGAGGAAAGCATTTCTGGGAGCAGAAGTTGCTCACCAGCAAGGAACAGAGACAAACCTTCGTCCTCAGAGTCGTCGCCCAGGTTGAGGTGGGGCACAGAGAGAGTCATCATTTCCCAGAGAGTCAGCCCAAAAGGGAAGATGTCGGCCTTGTCAGTGATCACGCCGTCATCCTGCAGAGCCTCCTTGGGCTTCCAGGGCTCGGTGCCAATGTAGCACAGCTCCGGGTCGCTCACTGGAATGAAACAACACGGTTCGAGCGTCTGCTGGGTCTTGCAGATACAACAAGACACGGTCACAGCTCTCCACGCAGCAGGGGTTTGGGCTGTTGGTTAGCTCAGGTGTGTTAAAGCCCCAGGGCAGGATCTTTTGGGGTCCTGAACCCCTTTTTCTTTCACATCCATGTAGTCTCAAACCCCCTGTAACCCACGGCTCACTCTGCATGTGAGGGATTGCAGGGTCCTGGTTTTTGGCTCGCCCAAGCCAAGCTCTCACCACTTTGTTCAATTTAATGCCTCCTTGATCTTAATTAGCCTTGGGACAGTTGAAGCGATCAGCTCTCAGACAGATGAGGGAAACACCATCTCTGACTCCATCCCTTATACCCCTCTCCCAATTACAGGCACCGCTCCCCAGAGGGGGGTGCCACGTTCCCCACTCTCCCTAACAAATTCCCGAGCTGTCAGCAAATCTCAGCTGTTTGAGAAACTTTTTGCAGGGCTGATCTTCAAAGCCTGGCCTGTAAAGAGAAGCGAATGCCAAAATCCCTCCATGCTTCCTGGGCTGTTGCGCTTTAATCCTTGGCTGCCACATGGGCGGGGACCTGGCATCCTCGCCATCAGCGGGTGTCCGTTATCTCAGGATCGCGATGAGGCAAAGCCAAACTCAGGGCTGGGCAGAGAGGACTTCTTCCTGCTAAACCAGCCCAGAACCTGATCCTTTAACCACCCTCCTCTCCAGGAGATCACACTGGGGTGCTGCCTCCAGCTCTCTCGCGGCTTATAAAAGAGAACAGCTACTAATAAAAATGTAATAGAGCAGCTTTATAAATTATGAGCCTGTCGCAGGCCTGAGCGCTGTGTAAAGCAGCAGAGAAAAAGC